GACTTTTTATAACTTTTACTTCTCCCGTTGGGATTTATTGTTTGAGTTTCTTGAGTCGTCGATTACATAATCGACGACTCAGAAAACTGAAACAAATATAAAATATTACCTTAAGACAAATTTCTGAGTGCCACTGGCTCATAAAAACACAAAGCTATCCACTATCAATTGGATGTGGACAAAATAGAAGAATGTATACCAAAAACTGCAGAAAACGTTTTACGAAAAATCGAGCAAGTGAAGAATAGCTTAATACTACTAACGAATTAAATTTTTAGAGAACAATCTAATAGAAAAAGGCCCTGAGCGGTTCTGCTCCGTTTAACGTAGTTTTTAGAACCATCGAACAACAGCTTAATATCACTAATGAATTATATCGAGTTTTAACGAGTTTCCTGCCACCGCAAATATCGTGTGCGCAAACAGTTTGCATTGGTGTGTTAATCATATTTTGTGAAACAATTTTTGCCATTTCAAAGAAAGAGGTTTGCTTTAGAATACTGTATTGTAAAATTTGTAAAAAAATTATTGTTATCATTAAGTACAAGGTGTCTGAAATGGAACTATCACGATGTTAGATTAGAACCATCGTTTACTTCCAGTTCTGTTGCACAAAGTCAGCTACAGAATATCACCAAATCATGTGTATTGTGTATAACGTTAGGTACTAATGTTCGTATGACACTGTGAAGGTTTGGTACCGAAAGTTCAAAAACAAGGACTATAACATTCAAAAAGCAGAGCACTCTGGTTGGCCTACTGATGCTGCTGAAGCCCGCCTGCAAGAATTTGCGGAGGAAGATCAGTATGCAACTACTCTAGAGCTTTCTAAGGAGTTAGACCATGCCATGTCCACTAATCGAGCTATGCATCGCATAAACCTGACGCATAAGTTCAATCGCTGGGTGCCGCATGAGCTGACTTAAGGAGTTAAGGACAGGCGTGTTTGGATCAGCATGAATCTGATCGAATATCAACGCAAGGGCAAAATTCTGGACCGGATCGCCACCTGTGATGAAAAGTGGATAGTGGATTTACTTCAACAACACAGGCCGAAAAGGGGGTTCCTCTGCGCCCAGCGACCCCGTCGGCAGCGTCACAAAGCGCAATTTGACTAAAAAAAAAGATTATGCTTCTTATCTGGTGGCATTACTATGGTATTATCCACAAAGAGTACCTGGAAAAAGGTAAAACCCATGCTTGTCAGTGTTGACGCTTCTATCAAAAAAAAAAACGTCGAACTGAGTTCCAGCGCAGAAAGGTAATGTTACATCAAAATAAAGCAAGACCACCTGTGTCTGCAATTCACCGCCTGGATTCTTTATGGACTCGAATTTGATCTTTTGCTATATCCACCATATAGCCCTATCATCGCTCCTTCGAACTTCTACTTTTTTCACACCTACAGCTATATCTTGCTAAGACTGTCTTTCATTCTACACAGGACGTCCGAAATGAGGTTGATCTGTTTTTAGACTCGGGGCCACCGAGTTTCTGGGCAGAAGGCTTTCAAAACTACCAGAATAACTGGTAGAATAACTACATGCACTAAAGGTACTGCTTTCATGTTTTTTTTTTTTAAACTTTAGTAAGAACTTTTTTTTTTGGCGAAAAACGTTCGTTACAACCAGGTGTTTCCAGAGAATAGTCTAACAGAAAAAGGCCCTGAGTGGTTGTGCTCCATTTAATGCAATCATATTAATTCTTATTTCGTAATTTCTTCAAACATCTCTTCAATGTTTTTAGTTTTCTTATTATTCATTGTCCCTTCTTTCCCACCTACTTCGGCCATTATTATTCCATATTTATACGGTTCTAAAGAAGTCCCGCCCTTTATCAAATGCCCGACCTGCATGAAGTTGTAATCATATTTAAGCTACATCATTGGCTCCAAGCGCATCCCTGCCAGAAGACCCTCTCTCTCCACCACTACTCTATGCCTTCGTCTTAGATTTCTCCACTTGGGACTCTGACTGCGCCCTGCTCGCTGCTCTGATGTAGCGCCACGACTTTCATTCCAGTGAACGAGACGAACCATTAATTGCTTATCATTCAGCATCCTTATTGCTTTTCGCATAACTTCACATCTGTAGTTGTTAGCCGGCGCAGTAGTTATCCACTGCTGTTACACCATCGTAACTTAGCACGGAGACCTTCTCAGGCTCCCAACACAAGATTACTTGCTTGGCCTTTTTCACCGCTGCTTCCACTTTATCATGTTAACTACAGAATGGTACTGTATAATACATTCTACTATGCTACACTCAGGATGTAGCTCTCGACCAGTGATCCTAATGCGGTATTAGCATTCACTCTGTAACACTGTTGCCAGATCGTGCGATGTTTCGCAAATTTGCTACTTTTGGGAAACCTGTGAGATGAAAATTCCTGTATATGCGATTTTGCGAAACGTTTGCTACTCCATCATTTCATTCATTACACAAATTTAACGAGAAGCATATTTTTCTGTAAGAACATATTTCTTTGTGTCGCTACCATTTGGAATTAGGGGAATTTTAGAAAGAAGAAAAAGGAAAGGGCAAAGCCATATGAGAAGCAGTAAAGAAAGTAAATAAATTCAACAATCTATTTTGTTTGGTGCTGTCCTACAACAACCTGAAAGAGCAATTCTTTGGCTGTATAGTCCGCCCGGCTTACATGACTACATCCAATATCATTCTCAAATAAACGCCATAACTGCATTCTTGCACAATTTATCATATGGTCATTGCAGCTTCTATCATTCAATTGTTGTACCAGAGTTGGTACTGTGTAAGTTTCAAATTTTTATTTACAGCAAAAAGCGTGGCAGCTTCACACTGAACACTCACATGCTGATACCCGATCATTCAGCATATTATAGTTTACCGTGATATTCATAGGGTAAGGAAAACTTTGGTTGTTTTGTGAGTGTACATTTGCACACGGAGATCATAAGAAAAGGAGGGAAAGTTGAATTCTCACTTCGTAGCGGCCATATTCCTCTCACTACTATTTATCTCAAAAGTAACTTTTAATTCTTGAATTTAATTTTTTTTCTTTAATTTTTGAAGAAATATTAGACATTGCTTTGCATACGGATGTAGGAATAGAACGTCTAAAAAGATTTCTGTTATGATATTTCATGCGCAAGCATTAAACTTTTATGTAATTTAATGAAAATTTGAAAATTTTCACCGAGTCATGCATTTTCTAGTACAAATAACAAAAAAGGACTATTTAGTGACTAACTTAGATTGTACAAATTTCCCTGCGTCTATAAATAACTGATATCATTGTTCTTTAACACGAAATGACATATGCTAGAAGCCCGAGCGGTAAAGTCGCTGAACACTGGTAGTTCGACCTGAAATCAATCTCAAGCGAATGGGCTGGCTGTACGGGCGTTTTACCCATTTGTAGCGAGGATACGAGCCAGTTTCCCTTATGAAGTCGTTCGCAAAATGCATTCTTCCCCTTAGGATTAACTTTTTTTGCCATAAATAAACCAAGCAAACAGTATCTAGAATTTGAACAATGCTGTTTGAAACTGTATGATGTTGTTACATACTCATGTGTTTTACTTATTTTGTACTGTTATTGGTTATACATTGGTTATACATCATCAAGACGGAACTCAACGGTAAATCATATTGCAACAAATTAATTCCCGAAACGGTTAATCTCTGGATTATGGTAACTTGGCGATTTTTGGCGAAAATTTGGCGACCAACCTGCTACAGCAACCTGCTAGTTTGTTTTTGGACGCCATTTTGTTTTCACGAAGGAAAAGCATGTTTTTTTTTTTAATCAAAATTTTTTTTTCCAACAATCTGCTAGCCGAATTACGCTTGTGCTAGAACTTTCATGGAACAAAAGTGCTCAATCATAACGAAGATTACGTGCGAAATTGGGAGAAAGTGCAGAATCGCCCACTGCTTGCCGCGTTTTTAAGAATTGCACATACACGGTATCATCCATGTACACGTCGACCTATTTTCACTTAAAAAAAAGATCCCAGAATTGCACAAAAATGGCATTGCGCACACTCTTGACTTTATCCATGTACACTGCGAAAGTCCTAGCTAGTAACCTTTATCGCCTTACCAAAATGTCGCCAAACTACCTGTTACCATATTCCAAAGATTAGCCCCCGAAACTATCTTATATGAAATGTGTCTTTATTCAATCACGTTATTTTTTGTGGATAAGTCAAAAATACGTCGTTCGTAAAGTTTTTAAAGAAAATATAAAAAAAGTAGCATGCAACAGGCAAATAATAAAACTTTAAATAATCTTAAAATATGCATAAACACCATTTAGAAAGTTTTAATGCTATATATATGTAGAAATACTGCATTTAGACTTCACAGTATTTTTCGCAATTTCTTCTTTGTGGTAAGTTATAAGTATTATCTTAATTTTGCTAGAACAAAAATTAAAAATAACGCTTTCTCTCTCTTTATATATATATATATGTCATATTTTTAATGCGTAGTTGTGCTGGCTTGAGTGGAAAGACGAACAGATGACTCCGACACAAATGGATTTTGAAGAAGCTCCAATCTTTATTTTGACTCATATAAAACATCCTAGTAGATATTTATCCAATCATAAGCATTTACAATGATTTCTTATATACAAGGATTAACGGGGATACTTTTATTAATGCCTTACTTATTTTGTTAGTATAATTTAGCTACTTGTGTATGGCAACAGTAGGAGATATTCAAGGAGAACAATGTAACGACGCGAGGAGCGTCATTGTTTCTTTCGTGATAATAAAGTTTGTTTTCGTTGAAACTGATTCTATTGTGTAAATGATCACCGCAATTATAGTGTTTTAATGATAGACACTATCTTTAAATCTATGATGCGAGTCTTTAATTAAAGGCTACTTCGTGCTGAAATGTGATTTATTATTTTAAGTACTGAAAGCGGAAAAAGTCGGTGATACTTTTTTCTTGTAAGCTTTAACATTTCTGACGTCCGTGACAGGACTATTTACGTATTATTTAAAGATGTTTCAAGTGATAAAAGGTTTTAAAAAAGAAGATTTGAAACAAGTTGTGGAAGAAATCAATGAATGTTTACCAACAACCGTTACAATAGCAGGTTTAAAAGAAATTATTTTAAACAGTGTAGAATACAAAAAGGATCCTGAATTTGTTCAAGATTTACTTGCAACTGCTATTTCGAATCGAAAACTGTTAGACCAAAGACAAATTGAAAAGGATAAGCTGGATTACGATCTTCAAAAATTGAGAATAGAGCAAGAACTTCAAAAAACAAAAATGGATTATGAACTGGAATTGGCAAGAATCCAAGCACAGAATCAAAGTGAGTCATTTCCATCTATTTCTGTTTCTGATGTAAATAGTTCGAAACGAAAGTTTACTTTGCCTAGATTAGAATTTAGACAATTTGGGGATGATATTAAAGAGTGGCTTCCTTTCTGGAGTCAATTTGAACAAATTTATAAAGATAATGATATTGCCCCTGAGAATAAATTCCAGTATTTATTTCAAGCCACTGTGTCGGGTTCCCGCGCTAGAGAAGTTGTCGAGAGTTTTCCGCCTATCGGTGCTAATTATAAAAAGGCGGTGGAAAGTTTAAAATCCCGTTTTGGTAGGGAAGATATTTTAGTCGAAGTATACGTAAGAGAATTATTGAAATTAATCGTAACTGTTCAAACTAAGGAAAAATTTTCAATAACTTCTTTGTACGATAAACTTGAATCTTATTTACGTGCTTTGGAAACATTAAATGTGACAACTGATAAACGTGCTTCTATATTATATCCAATGGTTGAGTCCTGCTTTACAGCAGATTTTTTAAAAACATGGTATCGTAGTAATTCTTCCGATTCAAAAACGGAAGCAAAGATCGATTAAACAATTTAATGCAGTTTTTGAGATCTGAAGTAGAGGGAGAGGAAAGAATATGCTTAGCTGTAGCTGGTTTTGGTTTAGGGAAGCATCAAGATAATAATAATAAGCCAGTAAAAAAGAAACATTCTAGTGCAGAATGTTTACGTAACAAGACACCGACAGCTGCAGCGCTATTAACAGCTGCTTTCGGTTCCGAGGCTACGAAGTCGTGCGTTTTTTGTGATGGTAAACATTTGAGTTTTGACTGTTTTTCCGCGCAAAAAATTAGTTTATTGGAGAAGCAAAAAATTTTAAAAGATAAGCTTTCCTGCTGTGCTTGTTTATCACCTGGTCACACAGTTAAGAAATGTCGAGTTTTCTTAAAGTGCTTGATTTGCTCTAAAAAACATATGCCTTTAATGTGTGATGTGCTTGATACACAAATCAAAGCTGTACAGACGAAAAACGAAGAAAAACCGATAGAGGGCGAAGTTAACTTGTCAAATTTCAAAAGACATACCCCTAGAGTTTTTCTTCAAACTTTGAAAGCGAACCTTGTTTCTGCTGGTACACAGAAAACTGTAAGATTACTTTTAGATTCAGCGTCGCATAAATCCTACATTTTAAAGACTGTAGTCGAAGAAATGAAATATTTGCCGGTTCGTCGGGAAAGTATGGTACATTCTCTTTTCGGATGTGTTTTAACAAATGAGTTGAAGCATAATTGCTATAAAATAAAATTCAGAAGTTTGAATGAAAAGTTTACCTGCAATTTTGAAGTGCTAGATCAAGCTACAATTTGTGACAATGTTCGGCCTGTGTGTAAAGGCCCTTGGATTAAAGAGCTAGAAGAAAATGGTATGATTTTAACAGATGTCGCAGTTAATTGCGAAACCATTCATATTCTCGTCGGAGCCGACATAATGGGAAGGTTGTTAACCGGAAATAGGAAAATTTTGTCTTCGGGTCTCGTTGCTGTAGAAACTATTTTAGGATGGATATTAATGGGTAATATGCCAGTAGAAGAAGCTCCTAACGAAAATGTAGCAATGGCGGTGACATCAATGTTTATAAATGAAGCTGAAGTTTCAAAGTCTATGGAGATTGGATTTAATAGGAATTAATGATCCTGTAGAAAAGAAATCTAAACATGAGATTGATCTTCAGACCAAAGAACATTTTTTAGAAACCTTTACAGTGAATAATGATGGTCGGTATGAAATTTGCTTACATTGGGCTGATGATAAGTCACCTTTACCTGATAATTTTAATTTAGCTAAAAAGAGGCTCGAGTACACTACTTCGAAACTTTTAGCTATGAATTTGTATCAACAATATGAAAATGTATTTTTAAGTTGGATTGATGAAGGCATCATAGAAATTGTGCCCACTTCTGAAGTGAACTCTTATGGTAATTACTTACCTCATCGTCCTGTCCTGAAGGCAAGCAGCTGTACCACACCTATTCGTCCAGTGTTTGATGCTTCAGCAAGGTTGACAAACCATCCTTCTCTAAACCAATGCTTGCAGTGCGGTCCTAATTTAATCGAACTTATTCCAGACGTCCTACTGCGATTCAGAGAGCGGCGATATGGAATCATAGCGGACATTAGAAAAGCCTTTCTACAGATAAGTACTCGAAAAGAGGATAGAGACTTCCTGCGGTTTTTATGGTGAGAAAACATGGCAGAGGGAAAGCTCAAAGATTTCGACATGCCAGACTTGTTTTCGGTGCAAAATGTAGCCCTTTCCTTCTGGCCTCAGTTATTGAGCACCACATTGAAAACAGTGAAGATTTTGAAGTTGCTTTTAAAAGGAGACTCTTGCAAAGTTTCTATGTCGACAATGTCGTTACTAGTGTTGACATTAAACAACAGTTGGAAAAGTTTGTTACCGATTCTAAGATATTGATGTCCAAAGGCGGTTTTGACCTAAGGGGATGGGAATATTCTGGTGAGTTCTGGATGGAATCAGCGATAAGAAAGAAACACAGGTATTAGGTCTGCTTTGGAATAAAGAACTGGACACTCTGAAAATCAATATGGGATGGTTGAATGACTTTAATTTGGAAAAGATAACAAAACGAAGCATGTTATCTGCCGTTCATAAGGTATTCGATCCTTTTGGTTTTTTCTTCCCCGTTAAGGTCTGTCCAAAAAATAATGTTACAAAAGGCATGGAAGAAAAGTGTCAGTTGGGACGAGGAGTTGACTGGCGAACTTCGTAAAGATTTCTTACAATGGCTTGAAGAATTAAAATGCTTAAGTGAGATTGAAATTCCCAGATTTATTCAAGTCACTTCAGAAAATTATAGTTGTTGTGCTCTTCACACTTTTGTTGATGGCAGTAAAGACGCTTATGCAGCTGTTACATTTCTAAGGATTGAGAACAACGATCGAGTTGAACTGTTCCTTCTTGCTGCAAAATCTCGAGTTGCTCCTTTAAGAGGGGCCACTATCCCAAGAATGATGGAGCTTTTGGCAGCCGTAATTGGTGCTAAATTGACAGATTCAGTAACCAAAGCACTCGTATGGGAAAGAGTTACCAAATATTACTGGAGTGATTCCACAACAGTGCTCGCATGGATTAAAAGAGATGAAAACAGGTCTGTTTTCGTGCGAAACCGTGTTAAGGAGATCAGAGAACTCAGTAAACCTTCAGCTTGGAAGCACGTTCCTGGAGAAAGAAATCCTGCTGATCTGCCATCCAGAGCTCGCAGGGCGAAATATCTAATTACATCAAGATGGTGGGAGGGACCACACTGGATGAAAGATCCCACCGAATTCCTTAATTAAATAGATCCTGTAACCATCATAGCTGGAATGAAGAAGAGATTGAAAGGGAGAAGTTAAAAACTACTAGCACGATGACAAATAATGAAACCGTTTGTGATAATGATTGGTATTACAGGAATTTTTCTAATTATGAGAGAATCGTACGTATGGTCGCCTGAATTCTTCGTTTTAAGCATAATTTTACAAATATCGAAAGCAGGAGATACGGAGAATTGAATACAACAGAATTTCGTGAAGCAGAGTTAAAGATATTACGTATGATTCAAAAGGAATCCCTTGATTTGGAACATGATAAACTCAAAACACTTCAGGTATTTAAAGATGATCGTGGCATTTATCGTGTAAAAATTAAGATTATTTACAGCAAGGATGTCAAACTCGCGGCCCGCGGGCCGCACGTGGCCCACAAGAAATATTTTTGCGGCCCGGCCAATATATCGGCAAATAATAATATATAATAATAAAATAACATATCGACGAAGAAAAAAATGAAATGTTTACTGCTAAGTAATTAACGATAATTTATTCAGTATTGTTAGATTACTCACAGCGAGCTGACACACACACTACTTAAATTACAAATGCGTGTGAGTAGCTTGCGTTCAGCTACCTTCGGCTTTTGGGGGACACGTGCACTCAGAACTTGTACGCATCCCCCGATAGCCGAATGTGGCCGAACTCATGGTCTCAGTTTTCCAATCATAGTTTTGTACGATATATTGGTGCATGCATGTGCATGCACTTTGCTTTATTATTAATTATTACTTAATTCATATTTTTACGGATTTCATAGTTATTTATTTAGTTAGTTTTTTTTATTTAGAATTGTAATTAGATTTGCTTCATGTTGCCTTAGCAACGCAGACGATTTTTGAAAAGACAGCTGCGTTGGAAGGTTAAAAATAGAACAGCGCGTGCATTTAATACCTAATCAATAAATATCTCGTAATTGCTGTTGCCATCCACAAAAAATCCAGATATTTATAGATATTTCCAGTAATATTCGAGAAATTAATTATAAATCTTATAAAAGCCGAGAACAAACAACTCATCTCAGTAGTAGCTGTAGTTCTAGCGAACTGTTTGTTTACTTAATGCTGTGATTGATTTGTAGCGATTTCGCTGTGAGATAGAATTAGTTTCTCTGTTTTTAATTGATTTTTGCTAAACGTTTGACATTTTGTGATATTGTTAGAATATTTTTGAAGAAATATTTCAGCATTTTGATTTACCTCTTGTGAAAAGAATAAATTTTTGTTAACTTTTTAACGTTAACCGTGTTTATTCCAGCCCTTTGTATTCAGTATGTCTATATCAAAACCAAGTGGTAGTAAAATTAAACGAAAAATCGCTGACGAACATAGAATATTCCAAGTAAAATGGGAATTAGAATATTTTTTGCTGTGAAATAAAAGATAAAATAATCTGCTTGATATGTAATAATACTATTAATGTACCAAAGTTATATAATATTAAACGTCATTACGAACAACACAAATCGAAATATAACAATTACGAAGGATTAATGAGAGAAGAGAAAAGTTGAAAGAGCTCAAGTTAGGAGTGAAAAAGCAACAGTCCATGTTTAGTAAAGTATTGCAAGAAAGTGAAGCGGCGGTACATGCAAGCTACGTCTTGTCCGAGTTGATAGCTAAACATTCGAAGCCTTTTACTGACGGTGATTTCATCAAGGAATGCCTAATGAAAGCTGGAGAAATTGTTTGTCCTGGAAATGTGAAGGCTTTTCAATCAATTTCATTGTCTCGAAATACAGTTGCGGAAAGAGTTACTGATTTAGCCGCGAATTTAAGTGATCAGATCAAAGCAAAATCATCTAGTTTCGAAAGTTTCTCCATTGCCTGTGACGAGAGCACGGACATTAGTGGCAAAGCTCAATTAGCAGTGTTTCTTTTCTTCGTTCTTGTGACAAGAATTTTAACATTTTTTTTGAGGAATTACTGGAACTAATACCGATGCCTGGTACTACCACAGGAGAAGATATATTTACTTGTGTTTTTGGACTTCTGCAGAAATACAATCTACCTTTGGCAAAATTAAATTCTGTAGCTACAGATGGCGCTCCATCAATGACCGGAAAAACAAGGGCTTTCGTAGCATTACTAAGAAAAAAACTTAGTGAAATTCACGGTTCAAACATTCATCATATGCATTGTATTATACATCAAGAAGTTCTATGCACGAAAGTAATAAATATGGAGAATGTTTTGTCATATATAAAAAAGTTATAAATAAATTTTATAAGATCTCGAGGTTTAAATCAGCGTCAATTCACTGCTTTCTTAAGTGAGTTAGATAGTGAATATTCGGGTTTGTCCTACTATACCGAGGTACGTTGTGTTATCTTGCTCCAAGATTCTCAAACAATTCTGGGATTTGAAAGAAGAAATATGTCAGTTTTTAAAAACGAAAAATCAAGACGTAAGTTTGTTTTACGATCCAATATGGATACAAGATTTATCTTTCTTGGTTGATATAACCAAACACTTAACCGATTTAAATTTATCGTTACAAGGAAAAGATCATATCATTACGAACATGTTTGACATAATTAAAGCATTCAAATGTCAACTAGTTCTTTGGGAAAAACAACTTAAAAAATGAAGATTTGACGCACTTCCCGACGTGCAGCATGAACAAATCAAGTTTAGATGATACTTGTTCGTATCAAAAATACGCAGAAAAAATTGCAAATTTAACAACTGAATTTGAAACGAGGTTTAATGATTTTTTAGTTCCCTCGAAGACAAATTTTTTTTTTTCTTCGATTTTCTCAATAAGTATTGACTCAGTACCCAGCCATATGCAAATGGAGGTGATCGAGATTCAATGCAACTCAAATTTGAAAGCAAAATTCATTGAAGTGGACGTGCCTGAATTTTACAAATATTTACCAGCCAGGTTTGAAAATACTCGAAAATTCGCATATGAATTTATTTCCATGTTTGGTAGCACTTATCGGTGCGAGCAGTTATTTTCAGTCATGAAAGGTAATAAGTCTCCTATTAGAAACCGTATTAATGATGTTCACCTTGGGTCAGCGTTGAAAGTTATCACTGCAAACAAAATTTCTCCCGAAATAGGAAAGATAATAGCAGAGAAGAGATGTCAAGTATCAGGACGTAAACATTAAATTTTTCTTGTTCTTTTCTATATAAATATATATATATATGTTTATTATTGTATTATTCGAAATAAATCTACGTTTCTATGAATATTGATTTTTTTTTTTTTTTTTTTTCAGCCCGCCTAAAGTTAAACCTTGTTTGTTTGGCCCAAGTGTACCTATGAGTTTGACATCCCTGATTTACAGGAAGCATAGTGAAGATTTCCTGAAACCGGTCGTCCTTTCTTCAAAACACGAAGTTGTGAAACCACTTATTTTCTCTGTTCATGTGAAGAATTGCCACGCAGGTGGTCAGATACTTTTGAATCTGCTTAGAGAAAAATATTGGATTCTTAACGGAAGAAAGACTGTGAAAAACATTGTGGCTAATTGCACAATCTGTAAAAGATATAGTTCAAGGAACATGGAAACGATATGCGCACCCCTTCCTGAAAATCGTGTTAAAGATGCTGCGGTATTTCAAATTACAGGGGTTGACATGGCTGGCCCTCTGTTTCTAAAAGAAAGTAGAAAGAGTTGGGTGTTAATATTCACTTGCGCAGTGTACAGAGCAGTACATTTTGAGCTAATTACTGCCGCTTCCACAGACGCCTTTTTAATGGCATTTAGAAGATTTATAGCTCGCAGAGGAAGATGTACTGTTGTATATTGTGACAATGGATCTAATTTTGTTGGAGCAGCCAATTCATTAAAACAACTGGATTGGAACCGTATACAGAAACATGGAGTCGTCAATT